ACTACGTACAACTTAATCAAAGCTGAAACAATATGCATGGTTAACGTAACTGAGTACAACTTAAACTAAGGTCAAGCGGTTAGTCAGAAACCCATAATCTCACCTGATGCGCCCCATGCTTCATCTAACCTGAGATCTAGTATATGCACGTAACCCTGGTCGCAGATTTGCGGAAACATGCGCCTTCACTTAATCTACTTGAGGAAATAATTTCAGAGTAAGTCAGAATAAATCAAATGTAACAATTTATTATCAGCCAGGTAAATATGTATTATGCCAATTATCTCCATAGCCAATTCAAAAATATCAAATCAATACAAGACATCAAATTCTCATAGACAAATCTAAGAGTAAAAGATTCATACCTGACTTTAGGAAAATACATAGTATTGAGTGTGTGGAGACACTCCATACTACGGGCTCTCTGACTACAGAATCGCCCCGACCCATTTGCTGCAATCCTTTAAATACAAAACCAAGATAAAACATCCCCCAAATGGAGGCATGTACAAACAATTGGAATTTGCATTAACCCAGGTCCCAGACCTGGGTGGTTTGCACCTCAATGGGAGCAGAAGGTAATTTGCATGGAATGACCCTCTACAGTAATCAAAGTATCTCTTAAGATCTGTGTTATCTTTTAGTCTACGTTTGTAAGATTAAGACCATTGTACCACTCGCCCTGAGACTATTCAAATGATACCACACATTACTGTAAATCTTATTTGCATTCATATATAACATTATACTATTGACCATTCTGAGTGTGCTGGGTGAAGAGAAGGATGGGTGCGGGGAAGGAAGGGGATGAGGAAAAACCCAATGCATATGTGAGAGACGTTTTCCCGCATTTTCTCTCAGTGAGATGCGGAAACAGATGTCTGTATGTTAATGCACTGTGTGTGTATTGTCTGTCTCAGAAGATCTAAGTATCTGAGTTTCTTTTATCCTTACACTACATTTTCATAAAAGTTATGTACAATAAAGTGTTTATCTTATTTTCTGTAAATACTGTAGATTACATTTTACACACTACATTTTACTATTTTTTATGAACTCCATATTTTCTTGTGAAAACTGAAAAAATATTGTGTAATAACCTTTTATTGCAGAAAACTAATATTCTTCAAAAACACACAGAGACCTGTGCATTATACATAATAAAGGGAGTATTTTGTTTTATTGTATATATGTATTTATTTATTTATTTATTGTGGTTTTAATGAAAGTTACATGCAATAACATGGTTGTTTTTTATTTTCAGTCATTAGATTACATTTTACACACTGATGAAAGAGAATCATATCGCAGCGCTTGTGTGTGAACCATGTTTTGCTCCGTTTCAGATCGAGGCTCTGCCACCCGAGTTGTTCCAGTGTAAGAAGCTGCGGACGCTGAATCTGGGAAATAACTGCCTTACGGTGCTGCCGTCACGTTTCGGAGAGTTAACCGGCCTCATGCAGCTGGAGCTCCGCGGAAACCGGCTGGAGGGATTACCGGTGGAGCTCTCCGAATGCCGCCTTCTCAAGCGCTCCGGGCTGATCGTAGAAGAGGATCTCTTCAACACCCTGCCGCCGGAGGTCAAGGAGCAGCTGTGGAGAACCGATAAAGAACAAGCCTGAGCGAGACAGAGGAACTCTTAAAGGCATAGTCCACCCAAAAATTAACATTTGCTGAAAATCTACTCCCCCTCAGGCCATCCAAGATGTAGATGAGTTGGTTTCTTCATCAGATTTATAGAAATGTAGCATTGCATCACTTGCTCACCAATGGTTCCTCTGCAGTGAATGGGTGCCGTCAGAACGAGAGTCCAAACAGCTGATAAAAACATCACAATAATCCACACCACTCCAGTTCATCAGTTAACTTAATACATTTTTGCTTGTAAACAGTGCTTGATCTGTGCACATTTCTCTCCTAATTCAGACGAGATTAAATTTTCACTGGAGAAAGCAATATTATGGATTATGGATTTCTGGATGCTTCTCAAGATGTTAACTGATGGACTGGAGTGGTGTGGATTATTGTGATGTTTTTATCAGCTGTTTAGATTCTCATTCTGACGGCACCCATTCACTGCAGAGGATCCATTGGTGAGCAAGTGATGCTACATTTCTCCAAATCTGATGAAGAAACAAACTCATCTACATCTTTGATATGCTGATGGTGAGAAATTTTTCAGCCAGTTTTCATTTTTGGGTAAACTTTTTTTTTTTAATCATTTTTAATTTGGGCAATAACATTTCTTCTCCGTATGAAGGGAAGTTGTGGACAGTACAGTGCCATCTGTGCTTAGAAACGTACACTGATACACTCACTCAAACACGTTCTCATACACAAACACACTTTTTGCAAGGTCAAGTCATTTGTGTACTGCCCCCTACAGGCACGGAGGGGCATGCATATAAACGACGACCACATGGTGAACATGTGGATGCGAGTGCCTATGTTAAAGCAGTGGCATTATGGGAATGAATAGATATAACAAGCAATATGTGGTTTGTGCATTATTTACTTAGCGGCTGCGTCCAATCAGGGAAGAGTCGACTGTTTATGAATGTGCCAGCTGAGTTATTAAATACGTAAAATGTACATTTTAGAGCCAATACCCACCGAATTAAATGCCAAAAAGGTGATATACAAAATCTACTACTTATATATGCTTTTAAAGACCATGAATATGATGCCACAAATGTCTTGCTGAAATCTTACACTCCACAGACTCTACACAATGATATAGAAACTATGAACTCAAACACTCGAAAGAACAAACTTTTACTGTTTTGGACGGACTCACATTTGGATCATGTGACCTGCACGTCGCATCCCATTGGTCGACTTCTCAAGGGGAGTGTTGACATCATAATGACTCTTGTCCTAGCAACGTTCCCACACTATCATGGCCTTAACTCTCTCTGAGCTGTATGCTGGAGCTCATCTCAAAGATAAAGTGTACATTTTGTGTTTATAAGTTTTATAATTTTACAAAAAAAAAAAAAAGGAAAGAACAAAAAGAAAGCACGGACTCATGCAAACTGTTCATGTGTTTGCAAGAAAAACAATCCTATGCGTTAATGTATCTTTTTTTATATACTGTATGTGTTCATATGATTTTATTTTCTGATTTTTATTTGAACTTTTTTCTTTTTGTTCGGAAGATTGCCTAATGTACACAGTATGGCTTTAAACAAAACCAAGTAAAGACTTCTGATGAACATTCAAATGTGTTTTCATATTTTTCACAGAAATGGGTCATTATTTTTAAGCATCTGCTATAGTTGGATTTGCATAACACAAGGTTAATTCAGAAATTATTGGGCTAGATGATGCAAATATAAAAGTAAACAATATAAAACACTGAAAAAGAGAAACTTCTAAATCATGAGGTCCAAAAATTATAACCCATTTAAAGGAATAGTTCACCCCCCCAAAAAAAGAGACTTTAGTCCATCACTTTTTGGCCGAAATATCTATAATAATGTTTCATCCAGTAAAAAAAAAGTCCATCTCCTGTTGCTTCTCACTTCAAACTCACTTTTCACTTATAAACAGTGCTTGGTCTGTCCATATTTCTCTCCTGATTCAGACAAACTTTTTCACTGCAGAAAGCAATATTATGGACTTGTAATTTACCCAGAAGCAACATTTTAATGTTAAAATGTCTTGATGGATTTATTTCTTACAAACACGCAGTTTTTGCTTCACATGATGTTATTTGATGGACTGGAGTGGTGTGAATTATTGAGATGTTTTTATCAGCTGTTTAGACTCTGACGGCACCCATTCACTGCAGAGCATCCATTGGTGAACAAGTGATGCAGTGCTACATTTCTCCAAATCTGATGAAGAAGCAAACTCATCTACATCTTGGATGGCCTGAGGGTGAGTGAATTTTCAGCAAATTTTAAATTTCGGCTGAACCATTCCTTTAAAGGGGTCATATGATGCGATTTCAATTTTTCCTTTCTCTTTGGAGTGTTACAAGCTCTTGGTGCATAAAGAAGATCTGTAAAGTTGCAAAGACTAAAGTCTCAAATCCAAAGAGATATTCTTTATAAAAGTTAAGAGTCAGCCACACCTACCTAAAACGGCTCGTTCTAACACACCCCCACGTCTACGTCACGATGTGGGAAGATTTGCATAACACCGCCCAAATGTTCACGCAAAGAAAGAAGGCATAACTTTTATTCTCACTGAAGTATTGTTGCCGCTTTCCGCCATGTCCTGAAGACGCTGTGTGCTTCGTTGTGAAAGCGAAACTACTTTGTTTGACCTTCCAAAAGAGGACGATATCCGCTTCGTCATGCCTAGAGCTGATCCATGCTGGTCGCTGAGGAAATACATCAACTGCACGCTGTGGATCGCCGGATCGGCTTTCACTGCATTTCTCCAAATCTGATGAAGAAACAAACTCATCTACATCTCGGATGTCCTGAGGGTCAGTAAATGTTCAGATTTTTTTTTTTTTTTAGATGAACTATTCATTTAATCGGGATCTTTATCTGAACTGCATGCAAACTCGCCAACAATTTATGCAGCACTACTGGGATTCTTTCCATTAGAAAACATTGCAAACTTTTCAAATCGATCAAATGGAGGAAGCAATAAACAGCGGGAGAGCGAGAGAGTGAGAGATGGAGAGAGAGAGGAGGAATTAAACTGAGCCATTACACCAAATACACAAAATAATGTTCTTTTTAGCAACATCATATGACCCCTTTAAAAATGTATTGGTTGAGTGAGTGTGTGTGTGTGTCTGTGTACAAACTGGCAGATATTCTGATGAAACACTCACTTTTTAAAGTAGTTTTATTAATAAAATGTATATAGCGTTATGCACTAATTACTATCAAATTGATCAAATAATGTGACCAAGTTCAAAAACTTATTCATAATATTAAGTCATAGCCACGCTTGGCATTGTTTTCTGAAAAGACCCGTAGACACTGACCCATAAGTTCTTAAGTACCACATCTCTCAACAGCACACACACCTTGTGTCAGTGAACACTGGGCCTTTCTGTTTTCTGTGAGTAAGCAGAGGGGAGTACAAGCGCCATGCCACATAAAAGCTCCCATTCACTCTCTCTCTGTTAGTGAAGTCATGGTCACTTCCAATTAAACCAAAATAAAAACTCTCTTAAAGGGGGCATATGA